GTTTTGACATTTGTTTAGTGATTCCAACAATATTTCATAACCCATGTATTATTATTATTATTATTATTATTAGGCCAAACAGTGCGAATCGACATACAAAATGCTCTGGGCACGATTCAAATTTTAACACGCAGACAATTCAATTGTTATCCAAATTCTAGTTTAAATTATATTTAGTGATGTAAAAGAAACCCACAAATGTATTTAAATATTTTTCTTTAATATCTTTCAATCAAGACATACCCATATTTTGATTATTATTGATTGTTATTTTAGATATATTGTTATAATAAATGATAATTAGTCAAATTTTATAGGTATAAATATATCTAAATAAGGCAATAAATTTGTCCCAAATCTCATAATCTATCCGGCATCCCTCGCATACCGGTAATTAAAACACAACAAAGATTCCATTGAATTGGTGGATACTGTTATTTCATCATGACAAGACTGGCATGCATAGCTGCTACATATATGTGCACAAAATAAAAATTTGGGGGAACAAAAAGTGAAATGTAAATGGCACTTTACGTGAGTTGTATATAATATCGACAGTTTACACATGAGTTAACTTGACATGAGATAAAAGTAAATCGAAGCAAAAGGCAATCGTTTTCTTTAGTGACTGTACCTGTGCGGTCAAAACTCCACAATTACAATCTGGACGAGGACAGTACAAGTGACCACTGCCAAAAACACGCAGTTCTTCAATATGCTTCTGAAGACATTTATCTTTTCCGTATCTCTGGAGCTGATCTCGTCGAAAACCTAATGAAGAGAACAGCATTTTAGTTAGTAAATAATGAGTTAATTCTTACATGGAGTTAACGTATTTGCATTGAACTGCTGTTACATAGATGAAGAATATCCAATTAACCATGCATGCACATCACTTTTCTGTGTTGACTGAAATATACATCTGAAGAATATTGATGCTAAAATTATCATCAATTTTTATTTTTTCTGTTTGAGATTATCATCAACTTGAACTATTGATAGTCTCTTCTCCGACTCCAGCCTTGTTGCAGCTGCAGCTATTGCAGATGGTCTGTGTTCCATTAGATTTATCTCTACAAAAACACACCAAAAGGAAAACTTAAATTCCAATTATCTTTGATTGGACCGGAGAGCTAATTACTTAGTCCAAACACCACGTTAAAAAAATAGAGAAAACAGTAGACTTAAGTTGGACCTCGCATTATATTTAAGATTAGTTTATTAGTTCTGGAAACAACACTGCTGGATGAAGAAGAATCTTTACACATCTTGAAGATGAAGTAACGTAGAAAGGAAAATGGAGTCACTGAAAGCATTCTCAATTCCAATGTTTCTAGTAACAGAAGCTCCATTTTTTCAATTCCTTGGCGATTGAGTAATCTACAATTTATGGAAGCTTGACCTCGACCATTTTTGCAGCCAAGGTGAGACAGGTAACTGATAGCAACTGGATCGTGTGTGATGATTCTATGTGTACAAAAACCACGTAAATAAAAATAGGTTTGAGGAGTAGGATGGCTATAGTCCTGAAACGTCAATGAAGATTGGTGGAGAATCATTGTCCACGTGCAAATGATACAGGTTCATATTCTTTCTACCGTTTCTTACTTATTTGGCTGGGTTTTCAAAGCTCTACTCTGATTTGACTGGCGATCTTGCATGATTCTTAATATCCTTTTCTTTTGAGTGAGTTCTATTTCTTTACATGAACTGCTGCTTAAGCTTATATTTTTTTTTTTTTGCTTTCAAAGTTTTTCTCTAAATTTGTTTAAACAGGAAATGATACCTTGAGGATGTTTTGGGGTTCACTTGAATTGCTTAGAATTTTATCAAAAGCTGCTTTTTAGTATGACATTCTGCTATATGAGTTTACTTATACGAAAAATATGTCACACTTATTACCAAAATGACAGTAAGTATGCCAGAAGTCTCTTCTCCTTGATCCTTCGTTTGCCGAATTGCATTGCAGATGATACCAAAAACATTTAACAAACTATATATGTTTATGTATCTATCCATAAGTTATTTCAATGGTCTCAGCCCTCGCAAGCATTTTGAATATTGTGTACATTATTTAATTGCTTCTTTACAATATTTTTGATATACATGTTAAATAATATAAATACCGTCACAACCACAATCATGGAGGTTTTATCAAAAAGAGGACTGGAAAGATATTTCAGAAAGAAGGGAAAAAAGAACGTGCATATATGTATATAACGTGGATATATACTAATCATCTAGGCCAGCTAGCCATGCAACACGGGCACTGCCTAACTCTTAATTCTCTCTTTTCTTTTCTTTCCCAATATAACTCGACGTTTAACCAACCTCTGTCCCGATTTGCCTTTATACCTTTCCTTTTTCTTTTTCTTTTTTTTTCTTCCTTTCGAACTGGGTTCTGCGAAGCAGCTATATATATGTACACACAAATGCACATATATATTATATAGAAAAAATAATCAAAGAAATCCCCGCCCCCCGCCCAAAAGTTGAAAAGAAAAATAAAGCGACATCACGTCAGTTTGACAAATAAAACATGGAGTTTATATTTATGTATATATAGTATAGGGTATATAATGTACTTAAGATGCCCGTGGCAGAGACGTGCTTCAATATCATAGCTCATTCAGTTTGATTAAAGAAAGATGATGGACTTTTTTGAGTTGGGTTGGCTCCATGAGGGCCTGCCTTACAAGGTGCCATGCACAGGCGTGAAAACTAAAATCTCCTTTTTAGACATGTCATGCATGTCTGCAACATATTATTGCAACCTAATTAGGTTGGCCATGCATATGCATCATCAATATATAATTATTTGATATATATATATATATATATATCAACAATTTTTCCCAACTCATGTTATTGACTTTCTCTTTTTTAAAACTTCTTTTTTATTTTGGTACCATGCTCCCGTCAACTTTTTAATTTGAATTATATTATAATCAAATGCATATGTATGCATAAATGATATATTTCATTGATGTACATATATATATTCCATATTCTTTCCGATCTATTTTGAAATAATATTAGAGGCCAAAAAGACTTCGATCGCAAACATAAATGATTCTCCAGGGAAGTAATAAGCAGCTTAATGTATTGTATACAAAAAAATAAAAATAAACACAAATTTTTATTTATCATCATTGTAGATGATATGCACAATTCTTATACATAAAATTTATTATTTATCATCTTTTTATACTATAAACAAAGTTTTTACAAATGAAATTTATCACTTATTAATTTTTTAAATAACAAGTTAATTAAAATTTAAATAAATTATGAATAATAAATTTATTTAACATCCTCTACTACGACGTAGGAGTTTGTAGGGAGATTTATAGTTTCAGGCACATTAAGTAACTAGAAAAAAAAAAATCTATGGGAGGCAATATGGGTATATGTGTGTCTCAGTGTGTGTGTCAGTATATATATATATATACATATATATATGTGTACGTATGTATAGAAAGTGGGCGCAAAAGATTGGGTTGTTGTTGTTGAAAGAGGTAACAAGATTGTCCCTGGATTGTTTACATGAAACAGTGGTGGATTGTTGATATATAAGTATATAATTATACATATGATAGTTGAATTATGTAATGTAACTTTTTTGGAGAAGAAAGAACTTAAACCTGTTTGATCTGCCTGGTCTCCATGTTTGCCTTTTCCCACGCCCACTTTCATCCTATCTACAGTCCCATATGCTTTGTTGCATGCCTAACGAGCAGATTCTTAAAGGACCACACATGCGCTGGTATATATATATATATATATATTTATGCATCAGCTGCTTAAAGAACCAAGTAAACACAATTTCTGCTTGATTATTAATTAACGACTTATAAAGAGTAATTAGTAGAATCTCATTTATCTCCCTCCGTCTCTCTCCTTTCACAAACAAATTTTAAATTTTATATTTCCTTAAAAAATTAGTCCAATATGTATATGTAATTTGTCAACAACAAAAGATATCAAGTTAATTATTTTTTATAACTAAGATGTAAAAATTAGTATATGCTCCAAATATAATATTTATATTTTAAATTATTTTAATAATAAATTATAAATAAATCACATATATATAAGATTTTTTGTTCAATTAGTAAAGGGATAATGCTTAATATTTTTCAAAAAAAAGAAATGAGGAAGAATTGTTAATTCTTTGGAAAAGAAAAAATGGGTGAGGCCCAACAAAGTTGGGGTTTAGGGTGTCCAACATCAGCCCGCCCTATCCAATCAAAAACAAGAAAAGTGTCGGCCCATGTATTCTCTCAACCTTAGGATTGTAAGTATATATATATATATGTGTGTGTGCGTGTGCATTAAACATAAAATGAAATACGTTTACATAAAAACATAATATTAAGATTTGAACCCCAAAAAAAAAAAAAAAAAAAAAAAATGAATAAGAAAATTTTTATTTTGTTATTATTTAAAAAAAAAAAGATAATACTAAAGGGAGAAAGTATAAACACAAACGGGATTTGTTTTCTTTTTGATTTCTATCCCCTTAAAAAGGATTAGTTATTATTTTAAACAAAAAAAACTTTCTATTTTATCCTCCAAAAAAAATTATATTTTGACTAAAAAACTAAAATATTTTTTTTAACTAATTTAAATGTATCGAGGCCTAAATTAGAGATTAGTTTAATTGTTTTTAATTAATAAAAAAGAAAATAAGATTATGTAATCTAAAATTATAATTATAAAACGATAATTAACCAGAAAAACCACAATCTACACTGATATGTTGACGTTTTACACGAATACTAACCAAATTAACTAATTATTACCCCTAAACCCTACTAACCCTATTATACCTAAATTTTAGCACCACAACTTCTTCATCATTTTTCTCTCTCCCTCGGACTGCTCTCAGTCGTGGTCGTCAACCATAGTCTCTCTCTTTCTCTCTCCAAATCATGGCTTTATTATTAAGCCACACTTGATTAAATCTTCTTCTCTCATGCTGCTACATAAGTACATATATATATATAGAGAGAGAGAGAGAGAGAGAAGTGAGAAAAAATAGAAAACGATAAAAATGGAAGACGACTACTCTTTTCTTCTCTGTCAAGAAGAAGAATCTTTTTTAGACGAAAAGCCGGCAGCCATCGAAGAAAATGGCTTTACTCGTAACTTAAACAATCACAGTACTCCTGCATTGAACGAACATGTCGGCTGTGACGACAAGGACGTCGATGAAGAGTATATTGAGAAGTTGTTTCGTAAAGAGACGAGTTTTGATTTCAACCGGACTCGGTCTTTGTTTCTTGCTAACTCACTGAAACCTGCAAGATTGGAAGCCATTGCCTGGATTCTCAGAGTCAGTAGTTTTTTTTTTTTTTTTTTTTTTTTCTTGTTGGTTTTCTTCCTTGTTTTAGTTTATATTTACAAATTATGATATGGTTTTAATGCAGTTTTTGGCATGTTGTCAAACACAGACTAGTGAAGTCTTTGAATTTCATTTTTAAACAGCTTATTGATTAGAATATTTTCTCTGCCGGCTTTACCTTATATTTTCGGATCTTGATAAGGGTTCATTGCAAACACAGACTAGGGAAGTGTTTGGATTTCATTGTCAAACAGCTTATTTGTCTATGACTTATTTCGATCGGTTCCTTTCAAGGAGGTCGATTAATGTAAGTTCCCTAACAGCTTTTCCTTTTCTTCTTCAAACTGTCTCGAGATTGTATCACGTTGTGCTTCTTTTTATAGATAGAATCATCACAGAAGGTCCGGTTACTATCAGTTACATGTCTCACCTTGGCTGCAAAAATGGAGGAGGTCAAGCTTCCATCAATAGTAGATTTTGATTACGGACTTGATCGTGAAGGGATTAAAAAAATGGAGCTTTTGTTACTGGAAACATTGGAATGGCGAATGCTTTCAGTGACTCCATTTTCCTTTCTCCATTTCTTCATCTCCAAGATGTGTAAAGATTCTTCTTCATTCAGCAGTGTTGTTTCCAGGACCGATCAAATAATCTTAAATATAATGCAAGGTCCAACTTAAGTCTACTGTTTTCTCTATTGCTTTACGCGGTGTTAGGACTAATTTAATTACCTCTCTGGGTCAATCAAAGATAATTTTAGGTTTTTTTTTTTGGTGTGTTTTTATAGAGATAAATCTAATGGAACACAGACCATCTGCAATAGCTGCAGCTGCAGCAATGCTGGCATTGGAGGAGGAGAGACTATCAATAGAAGAACTGGAGAGTAAGATGCATCCCATCTCTTATTCTGGCTTTCTCGACATTGTGAGTTATTTCTTCTTTTCCTATTCAGTTTATCTATTTTACTGGAACATATTCGTCATTACGTTGCTGAATGATTTTCTTTTGGCAAAATTTTCTGTTGGGTTTTCTCAAACAGGAACAAGTGTTTGCATGCTATAATATAATGCAGAGACAAGAAATGGGGATCAATACAGCTGAAGTTTTCTGTAATGATAGTAATGATTCTCCAGTGCCTTCAAGAAATACCTTAAGCAGAAGGAGAACCAGAAGAAGATTGACATTCAACAACAATGTTCTGCAAAATGAAAAGAGACCCACGTAGGGGAAAAAAAAGATTTTTTTCATTAAAATTTTTTTGATGAATAAACAGTGAAAGATAGTAGAAAACGGGAAGAAGCAAAAAGAAGCATATAATACAGAAAAGATTACTATTATTGGATTGGAATTTGGACCCCTAATGCCAACAAAAGAGGCCAGAAAAGAGATCTTCAAAGCTGGTTCATTTTTTTCTATGAGCTTCTGCTCTTTTTGATTCATTTTTCATTATTTCAATTTGTATTTCTTGAGCTTTTGGCTCTTGATTTTAATGTCTTAACTTTTGATGGGATGCTTTTATTTTTTTCTTTCCATGTCTTGGAAAAGGAGTTTTTGGGTTGTATCAGAGTTGGTTGTAGGGCATAAGAAAAAAAAAAAAAAAAGTAAGCAGATGGGGAAATGTTATTGGAATTCTTTGAATTTTTTGAGGGGATTTAAAGACGGGACTCTGTTTCTGTAAGTTTTGGTTGTTGAGGGTTTTGTATGGGGAATCGAAAGGAATTCACATACTGATGGCTATACATTTTTCTTCATTTTCTTTTCTTATAAATATTGTATCCATCTTTTTCTGGTTCCAACTCAGTTGATTTACAATGTCATAATGTTTGTTTAGTGATTCCAATATTTCATAATCACTATGCTGTCATTGTCTGGTATAACAGTGCTGGTCGAATCCTCATGCAAACAACTCGGGTACAATTCAAACTCTAGTATAGTGATGAATAAAATATTCTAACAAATATATGATGTGTTTTTTTTTTTTTTAGTATATACTGACTTCTAGAATTTTTCTTATATTTTGATTATTGTCGATTACTATTTTAGTAATCGATTGTTATAACGTCGATAGTAAATGATAACTAATACGGTATTGTCAAATTTACTAGATGCTAATACATCTAAATAAGACAATAAATTTGTTCACTCAGAAATAACTACATCCCTAATCTAACGATAATAAAAACCCACAAAGATTCCACTGAAATGGGGGATACTATTCCATATTTCATCATGAGAAAGCTGGCATGCATGTAGCTGCTACATATATGTCCGACAAAACTAAAATTTGAAGGAACAAAAAGTGAAATATTAATGGCACTTCATGCCAGTTATATATAATATCTACAGTTTACACATAAATTAACTTGACATAAGATAATCTTTAGTGATTATACGTGTCAAAGACGTACTTAGTACTTCCTGTTAGCATACAGAAACACTCACTACCCGATTGACCTGAACAAAGGTACTTACCATATGGAATCCTACATACTATCTTGGATATTGGCATTACACTAAGGTGGTTTAATTTTCCGGTTTCTTCATATCTGAAGAATCAGATTACAGAGAATATGACAAGAATATTGATATACAGAGTTTTAAGTTATTCCTCAAAAGTCCAACTTAAAATTCGAGTCAGTTCAAAGATTAGCACCTACTCATATGCCAAAATTTCTTATTAGCTATTCTGAAATTCTGGATCATATCAGAAGATGTTTGTGTGTTTCACCAATCACGGTAAATGGTACAAGACATGGGTATAAAAAAAACATAAAAGCAACATTATGGGGAAACTTACACTAACAAGGAAAATTCAAGTGAATTGGAGGGCTTATCAAAAGAATTCACCTAAGCTGGATTTGTGTAGGCTCTGTTTGAAAGATAGCTAAACTTTATGTGTAATTCAAAGGTAAATCCGAATTCATTTGACCTAGAAGATGATAAGGATATTACATCAAGTAATAAAAATTGAGCCTATATAAATTTCATACAGAATTAAAAAAATAAAATAAAAATACATTCCAAATTCTATCGAATATGATAAAATCTAAAATTACTCTACTCCGTATGAAATTCCATATGAACCCAATTTTAGAATTTGATCTGTTTATAGAATTTGTGTTTCTCCTAGTTAAAGTAAATATGAGTTTGTAAATAGATTTTACATAAATTCTAGATCTGTTCTAAAAGCGGTAATTTCATTTCAGTCATCTGCTGCAGAAGCAATCAAATCTATAGCCAATATTAGTGCTAGCTCAGCACTCAAGGAAGTAGCTTCCTTCTTCTTACACAACACCAGGAGCATCTACTATCAATATCATTCAAAACAAAGAAATTCATGCCCAATAAATATATAATACATAAACCACGTGAATGACGCAAAGGCAGGGCCAAGTTATGAGGTAAGACTAGAACTAGTTGTGAGATTACTAGATTCTAACTCAACATTATATGTCATAGTATACTTTGAGCCCCAAGTTATGAGGTATGAAGATATTTGAAATTCCAACTACAAATCATATTTCTAGTAGACTTCAGAGCCAAGTATGAAATAGGCACGAAACTAGTTGTGAGATTGTTCGATTCTAACTAAAAATTACGTTATAGTAGAGTTGTCCAATAGAATAACAAATAGTTACCACTTTGGGATTAACATTCCTAATAATTGAGACATTAGGAAACAAAAGAAGCATCAAAGCAGGAGCACAATGGGTTCATTATATTACCAGGAAAAGAGAAGAAGAAAACAAAAAATGTCATAATTAAACAAAACACTCAATTCCTGAAATCTAGCTGTCAGATTTTTACAAAGTTCAGTTGTTAGATGTAAGTTCTACACCAAGAATGTCAAGTATAAATAAATATGCCTTCAAAAGTTGACAATGTCTATTACCAGTTCAAAAACCTGTCCTAAAGTATTCTACTGTTTCCAACTTTACTTGTGTTGGAAAAAAGAATAATTCATCCCCGATGCTCCTACTGCTATGAATATAACTAAGGACAAAATAAAGAAAAAACCACCACAGGATGGATATAAAAATGTAACAAGCTAGACAACTAACAAAAAATACCCGTTTCTGCATCCTTGAAATCAGTTTGATCCCAAAGGGATTAGCTTTAAAGCAGCTGCAATGGGCATGCCAAGGAATCCAAGGAAAACACTAACCAACCACTGATGCAAAGTCAGCGGAGACGTGTTTGCAAATGTACCAAGAAACTCCACAATTACAATCTGGAAGAAGACAGTACAAGTGAGGACTGCCAAAAACACATAGTTCTTCAATATGCCCTTGAAGACATTTATCTTTTCCATCTCCCTGGAGCTGATCTCATTGAAAACCTAATGAAGAAAATAGCATTTTAGTAAGTAAACAACGAGTTAATTCTTACATGAAGTTAATTTATTTCCATTGAGCTGCCGTTACATAGATGAAGATATCCAATTAACCATGCATGCATATCTCTTTTCTGTGTTGACAACAATATACATCTGAAGCATATTGATGGAAAGGTTATCATCAACTTTAATTTTTTCAGTTTGAGATTATCATCAATTTGAACTTCAAGTTGTGTTACATGCAAGGACATAAGATAGTGATCCACCAAGCTTGTTTAATTAATCATAGAATTCTAAGAAAAATATATATATAACTATTGACTAACATCTCAACTTTGGAGACACCTATTAGGGAGAAATTAATAAAAATAGGTAGCAAACATCTACATCAACATGACAGGAAAATAACTCTTAACTAGTTTTCTGGATGTTTTCCATCGTACCAACCAAGGCTTTTTGGATCCTATACCTGTAGTAAGCATGACCCAAACAGAAATGAAAAAGCGAAAAAAGACACCATTACCTGACAAAAGACGAACGAGTTAAAAATAAGTGTATTCAATATCAAATCAGAATCTGGCCCATCAAGGCGAAAAACTGCCTTTCCTCTTGTTTGGAGATACCATATGATTACAAACTGATACAAAGATTGTCCCAAAATGTTCCTCCACATGACATTAGAGATGAAGTTGCCTTTCCTGCCAACCGGTGATCTCTTCATCAAATCATCACTAGGAGGCTCTGTTGCTAATGCAAGTGCTCCTAGAGTATCCATAATCATGTTAACCCATAAAAGCTGGACAGCGGTAAGGGGAGCATTTCCTGCGAGAGTTGTAACAAAAAGGGAGAAAGTTATCAACATACTCAAAGCAGAAAAAGAAAAGATGAAAGAATTTCATATATCATAAATCAGTATGGAAAGAGACAAGAAAGCATCTACCAACCAGTTAAACAGGCTGAAGAGAAGTTGACTATGAGGGCCACGATATTTACTGTCAGCTGAAATTGAACAAACTTTTGGATATTCACATACACGGAACGTCCCCATTTGGCCACGGTTACAATCGTGGAGAAGTTATCATCCAAAATGATTACATCTGCACTCTCTTTTGCCACCTAAAAATCAAGAACACATTCTTAAGCACATTATTTCAGGATAATGAATTCACAAGCAAATTCAATCGTTCTGACAATGACTAAAAAGCCTCACATCAAGTGATATCAAAAATAAAGGTCATTCATGCAACAACACAAAAATAATATTGCAAGTAAATTACACCTCGGTTCCAGCAATGCCCATGGCAAGCCCAATATCTGCTTCATGAAGTGCTGGAGCATCATTTGTACCATCACCAGTGACAGCAACAACTTCTTCAAAGGTGGTTCTCAGGTGCCTCACCAGAGTATGCTTATCCAATGGTGAAGATCGAGCCATCACCTGCAAATGAATTTATATTAAATATTGTTGTCAGATTAATACAAGGGCGACCTATTTATTGCATCTCCAGACCAAATCCATCTATTTCAAAGTAGAAACTAGTCCACTAAGAAACATCAAACTTATTGTGAAGGAACAAATTTATAAATCATGCAATTATTGTATTTAATGATGAGTTCCGAAGTCTTCAACAGAAATACAAAATGATTTAACAAAATCATGATAACCTTGTAAATAAATTGGGACAAATTAGAGTCTTGATCATTTTTTAGGGAAACTTTTGCTCAATACCGATGATCCTCTGGATGTCTAAGATAGTCCACGTAGTTCTTCGCTTCTAAATCCAGACAAACAGAATGTCTGAGATTTTTTTTTAAATACAAAAAGGAAA